CTCTTGTTAACTCTCCTATAATCCTGTCCCCACCTTGCTTTCTCCCACCCTCCTCACATTCCCTCCTTAATCAAAAATACTTGAAAGAAACAGCCAAACAGCCATTCTCAGGAGCATTTGAGATCCTGTTCCTCCGGCGAGTGTCAGCTTTGGCTCAAATCAACTCATAAAAGTTCTCCACAGGTTTGCTCAGTGGCTAGAGCATCAGCCCGCACACCAAAGGGTTGTGGGTTCGACTCCTGATCAAGGGCACGTACCTGGGTTGCAGGTTTGAGGCCCGGTCGAGTTGCGTGCAGGAGGCAACCAATCGATGTGTGTGTGTCTCTCTCCCCCCTCCCTCCGTTCCTTCCACTCTCTCTAAAAAAAATAATCAATGGGGGAAATATTCTTGGGTGATAATTAAGGACAACAACAAAAAATGTTCTCGGCAGGTTTGGCCGTTTCTTACGTCGACACTATTATTGCTCATGACTCTGTGGGTCAGCCGGGCTCGGCCTGGCAGGTCTGCTCGTGGCTCCACCGTGCGCGAGGGTCTAGGACAGCCTCCTTCCCAAGAAAAGAGCCGGCTGCTGGCCTCTCTCTTCACGTCTAGCCTTGATTTCCTTTCACAGAGTCAGGAGTGGAAACTGCAAGGCCCATGTCCTTGAAAATTGCAGAATGTCACGTCACTGCATTCTTTCTGATCCAAGCAAGTCTTGAGGCTAGCCCAGATTCCAGGGGTGGAGAAATGGACTCCCCATCTTGATGGCCGGAGTGAGTCACATTGCAAAAGGGGACAAACACAGGGAGACAAAGATTCATGAGATGCCATTAAAAAAAAAAAAAAGTTTTTATTGATTTCAGAGAGAGGAAGGGAGAGGGAGAAAGAGATGGAAACACCAATCAAGCCTGCAACCCAGGAATGTGCCCTGACTGGGAATAGAACTGGTGACTACCTGGTCCATGGGACGACACTCAACCAACTGGGCCAGGCATGAGAGGCCATTTTTTATATGATCGGCTATATCCTACAGCTTGTTTCTTCTAGGTCCCTTCATTAACTCTCCTTACCCCAGCAACCTGGTTACTTTGAACTTGATAGTCACTAGGGGTTCAGCTCCTTCAAGGAGTCTTTCTGGCCCTGGCCAGTGTGGCTCAGCTGGTTGAGTATTGTCTCATGCACCAAAAGGTCACTGCTTGGATTCCCAGTCAGGGCACATGCCCGGCTTGTGGGCTCGATCCCCAGTAGGGGGCATGCAGGAGGGAGCTGAATGATGTTCTCTCTCTCTCCCTTTCCCTTCCTGTCTCTCTCTAAAATCAGTAAAATCATATATATATATGATTTTATATGTGTGTATATATATTTAAAAGAAGTCTTTCTATGGTCCTGGCTGGTGTGGCTCAGTCTGTTGGGCATCGTTCTGTGCACTGAAGGGGTGCGGGTTGATTCCTGGCCGGGGCACATGCCCTGGTTGTGAGCTCGATCCCCTGTAGGGGGTGGTGGGGGCAGCTGATGATGTTTTGCTCTCATATCTATGTTCTCTCTCCCTCTCCTCTCTCTCTCCCGAAAAATCAATGAAAAAAAAGAAAGAAAAAGAATAAGACCCAGTTCCTGCCCTCAAAGTTTCTAGTCTAAAAGAGGAGATAGGGAGTGAAACAAATCATAATACAGCATATTAAGGGCAATGCTAGAGTGAGTACAGGGCATCTGGGAGGATGGAAGGGCAGCCAGTTCAGCCTTGGGGGTCAGTGATCTTCTCTGGATGAATGGAATCTCCAGGTTGATAGGGGGAGCTGGAGCAAGTATAAAGCAGAACTATTGGTTGTGACAGAAACCCAAGTTAAACTGACTTAAGGAAAAAGGGAATTTATTGACTCATAACTAAAAAGTCCTGAGAATGTTACCTTCAGGCACGGTTGGATCCAGGTGCTCATCAGAAATCAATCTCTTCTCATCTCTCAGCTCTGTTTTCTTCTGTGTTTGCTTAATTCTCAGGTAGATTGTCCTTATGTGTTGGCAAAGAGAGCTACTGACAGCTCCAGACTTATGATTCTGATTGCCCAGTCTTGGGTCATAGGTTCCCCTGGAGCTGGGGAGCGAGAACAGTCTCTCAAAACCACAGGGTCTGAGAATGGAGCAGAGATGTTACCCAAAGGAAGAGTTAAATAAAGGCTGATGAGTAGGCCAGACATCAGGTGTGCTCCCAGACAGGTAGGTGACTAAATTAAAGCTCTCAGAGGTGTCCTCTGGAGGGAAATGTGCTGAGGGAAGGGCCAGGTGGCCTTTGGGGCTTAGAAAAAATCATCCTATTCTCTTCTGCTTTAAACCAAACAGCAAGGTCCTGGGGCTGGTCTACTTTGCCCAGGAAAAAGGGAGCCTTTTCCACCTAGTGGCCATCGAGGCCATTGCGCTGTAGCACAGACCCATTTACAGGACTGGCTGTTGCTTTGGTAGTGTGAAATTTCTGGACAAACGAAGTAGCATTTGTAGACAGGGAACCTGGGAGTGCCAGAACAGGGACATGTCTGCCCTTTATATAATGTGGGCTTGGCACAGGGCAGAGTAAGTGAGGTTGTAGGTGGACAGATGGTCAGAGGGAGAAGTTGTATTTGACGCTAGTGATTGCCCAGCAGAAGTCTGGTCAGGAGTGAGGGCAGCTCACTTGGCAGGGGCTGCTGCGTAGGAAAGGCTTTCTTTACCTGCTCTGGGAAGAACCCCTAACTGCCCATCATCACTACCTCTTTAGGACTCCAGCCAGGAATTGTGATTTCTTCCAACTTCTACTTCACAGCATATACAGAGGCCTTAGGTCACATGAAGCTGGTGGCAGGTCTCAGACCAATGCCCAGGGAACCCAAATCTCAGACCAGTGTCCCATACACACTCCATGGCTGCTGTCTATGGGTGCATGCACAGCTCTGTTTGCACTGAGGGGTTATTACATCCCAGCGCTTGCTTTGCATCCAGCTCTGGACTAAGAGTTTTACATGCATGGTTTCATTATGTCTTCTCCTCAGGTGTCACTGGCTGCAGAGTCTGGGGCTTTTTTTTTTTTTACAAGCAAAAGTTTATTTAAAAAGTCACAGAGGTAGAAGAAGTGAGCCATGGAAAAAGTGAGCCAGCAGGGCTGCATGGACTCAGGAAACAAGTTAGAGAGGCAACAGAAGGGCCTTTGGAGCTTAGGAGAAAGAAAGCAAAGATACAGGCTTTGAAGTAAGAAAGGGGGAGGAAAGGCGCTGGCATGAGAGAGAGGGGGCGTGGAGACTGGAAGGTGACTTCTCTTTTTTTTATTTTGTTAGTCCTCCCCCGAGGATATTCTTCCCAATGATTTTTAGAGAGGGTGAAAAGGAGGGAAGGAGGGGCAGAGAGAGAGACATAGACATGAGAGAGACACATCGATTGGTCACCTCCCACACATGCCCCAACCGGACCTTGAACCTGCAACCCAGGTACGTGCCCTTGACTGGGAATCAAACCCATGACCCTTTGGTGTGTGGGCCGACACTCTAACCACTGAGCAACACTGACCAGGGCGCCATTGATTTTGAGAGAGTGAAAGGGAAGGGGAGGAGAAAACATCAAAGTGAGAGAAACATTGATCGGTTGCCTCCCTACACACCCCGACCAGGGGTTGAACCTGAAACCTAGGTATGCTCCCCGACCAGGAGTTGAACCCATAACCTTTTGGTGTATGGGAGGACACTCTAATCAACTGAGCCATCTGGCCAGGGTTGGAAGGTGGCTCTTGCTGAAGCCTAGGGAAGAGCCACCTCAGCCAACATGTTGCCCGCCCTGCATCCTCCATCCCCTTCAGGTCGAATTAGGTTTCCAGCATTTCATAAATTTTTTTAAATTGAATTTATTGGGGTGACATTGGTTAATAAAATTCTCAGGGGGTTAACTCTATAATACATCATCTGTATATTGTATTGTGTTCACCACCCCAAGTTGTCTCATCACCATCACCCCCTTTACCCTCTCCTACCTCCCCCCACTCCCCTTTTCCTCTGGTAATCACCACACTGTTCTCTGCCTACAAGGTTCCCCCCCCCCC